CACAGATAAGCATAAAAGCTATATCCACATTCTCAACAGATATGTATAACAACAATATCCACAGATAAGCATAAAAGCTATATCCACATTCTCAACAGATATGTATAACAACAATATCCACAGATAAGCATAAAAGCTATATCCACATTCTCAACAGATATGTATAACAACAATATCCACAGATAAGCATAAAAGCTATATCCACATTCTCAACAGATATGTATAACAACAATATCCACAGATAAGCATAAAAGCTATATCCACATTCTCAACAGATATGTATAACAACAATATCCACAGATAAGCATAAAAGCTATATCCACATTCTCAACAGATATGTATAACAACAATATCCACAGATAAGCATAAAAGCTATATCCACATTCTCAACAGATATGTATAACAACAATATCCACAGATAAGCATAAAAGCTATATCCACATTCTCAACAGATATGTATAACAACAATATCCACAGATAAGCATAAAAGCTATATCCACATTCTCAACAGATATGTATAACAACAATATCCACAGATAAGCATAAAAGCTATATCCACATTCTCAACAGATATGTATAACAACAATATCCACAGATAAGCATAAAAGCTATATCCACATTCTCAACAGATATGTATAACAACAATATCCACAGATAAGCATAAAAGCTATATCCACATTCTCAACAGATATGTATAACAACAATATCCACAGATAAGCATAAAAGCTATATCCACATTCTCAACAGATATGTATAACAACAATATCCACAGATAAGCATAAAAGCTATATCCACATTCTCAACAGATATGTATAACAACAATATCCACAGATAAGCATAAAAGCTATATCCACATTCTCAACAGATATGTATAACAACAATATCCACAGATAAGCATAAAAGCTATATCCACATTCTCAACAGATATGTATAACAACAATATCCACAGATAAGCATAAAAGCTATATCCACATTCTCAACAGATATGTATAACAACAATATCCACAGATAAGCATAAAAGCTATATCCACATTCTCAACAGATATGTATAACAACAATATCCACAGATAAGCATAAAAGCTATATCCACATTCTCAACAGATATGTATAACAACAATATCCACAGATAAGCATAAAAGCTATATCCACATTCTCAACAGATATGTATAACAACAATATCCACAGATAAGCATAAAAGCTATATCCACATTCTCAACAGATATGTATAACAACAATATCCACAGATAAGCATAAAAGCTATATCCACATTCTCAACAGATATGTATAACAACAATATCCACAGATAAGCATAAAAGCTATATCCACATTCTCAACAGATATGTATAACAACAATATCCACAGATAAGCATAAAAGCTATATCCACATTCTCAACAGATATGTATAACAACAATATCCACAGATAAGCATAAAAGCTATATCCACATTCTCAACAGATATGTATAACAACAATATCCACAGATAAGCATAAAAGCTATATCCACATTCTCAACAGATATGTATAACAACAATATCCACAGATAAGCATAAAAGCTATATCCACATTCTCAACAGATATGTATAACAACAATATCCACAGATAAGCATAAAAGCTATATCCACATTCTCAACAGATATGTATAACAACAATATCCACAGATAAGCATAAAAGCTATATCCACATTCTCAACAGATATGTATAACAACAATATCCACAGATAAGCATAAAAGCTATATCCACATTCTCAACAGATATGTATAACAACAATATCCACAGATAAGCATAAAAGCTATATCCACATTCTCAACAGATATGTATAACAACAATATCCACAGATAAGCATAAAAGCTATATCCACATTCTCAACAGATATGTATAACAACAATATCCACAGATAAGCATAAAAGCTATATCCACATTCTCAACAGATATGTATAACAACAATATCCACAGATAAGCATAAAAGCTATATCCACATTCTCAACAGATATGTATAACAACAATATCCACAGATAAGCATAAAAGCTATATCCACATTCTCAACAGATATGTATAACAACAATATCCACAGATAAGCATAAAAGCTATATCCACATTCTCAACAGATATGTATAACAACAATATCCACAGATAAGCATAAAAGCTATATCCACATTCTCAACAGATATGTATAACAACAATATCCACAGATAAGCATAAAAGCTATATCCACATTCTCAACAGATATGTATAACAACAATATCCACAGATAAGCATAAAAGCTATATCCACATTCTCAACAGATATGTATAACAACAATATCCACAGATAAGCATAAAAGCTATATCCACATTCTCAACAGATATGTATAACAACAATATCCACAGATAAGCATAAAAGCTATATCCACATTCTCAACAGATATGTATAACAACAATATCCACAGATAAGCATAAAAGCTATATCCACATTCTCAACAGATATGTATAACAACAATATCCACAGATAAGCATAAAAGCTATATCCACATTCTCAACAGATATGTATAACAACAATATCCACAGATAAGCATAAAAGCTATATCCACATTCTCAACAGATATGTATAACAACAATATCCACAGATAAGCATAAAAGCTATATCCACATTCTCAACAGATATGTATAACAACAATATCCACAGATAAGCATAAAAGCTATATCCACATTCTCAACAGATATGTATAACAACAATATCCACAGATAAGCATAAAAGCTATATCCACATTCTCAACAGATATGTATAACAACAATATCCACAGATAAGCATAAAAGCTATATCCACATTCTCAACAGATATGTATAACAACAATATCCACAGATAAGCATAAAAGCTATATCCACATTCTCAACAGATATGTATAACAACAATATCCACAGATAAGCATAAAAGCTATATCCACATTCTCAACAGATATGTATAACAACAATATCCACAGATAAGCATAAAAGCTATATCCACATTCTCAACAGATATGTATAACAACAATATCCACAGATTTTGTGGGGGAGTTTTGCCCTCCTTCTCCCCCACCTTTACACCCCATTTTGGACCTTTATAACCAGCTGGTGGCCTCCTGGAGCATCTGATGCCAAGCTGGGCCCAACCTGTGCCTCCTCGTTGAGCCAATCCAAGCACTCATTGGACAAAGTGCAACTGAAAGTGGAAGCAGGGGCCAGGAGCTCTCTAGTCCTCCATGCCATAGCATATCGGGCAAGCTGTGCACCCCGGACCGGAAAAGCAGCTGGGTACTTAATCCCCTCTGGTGGGCAGGTCTGATCATGACCAAACTGACGCAGGAACCGGAACGGAAAATAGAATACGCAGTGGGTTAGACCAATCAATTGGATCCCAATCAGCCGGGACATACTATAGCTCATTGCCGGTAGGTTGAGCCAAGGACAACGCCAAACAATGCTGTCTGCAGACAAATTGCACATCCAATCAAACCACCACCTTTCGTCAAGAGCATTGACTAGGCGCTGCCGAAAGAAGTAGCCTCGAGCTGAATAGGCCGGGCAAGAGTCCACAACCTGCAACTTGTCCATTAACCATACCTAGGGGAGGGATGGAAAATGAGAGAATAAAGAACAGAGAGATGTACGATGAGAGAAAATTAAGACAAGGGTTTTGTGAGAAAAAACCGAGCCTGAGGGCCGAGTGATGTGAGCAAATATATATGTGAGGTCGGGTGGGAAATATTACTTGTAACAACAGTGGACTCCCAGCAAACCTAGTCGCCTCCCGGCGATAGACAGAATCTAAGCCCATCAGTGTCTCGGCCAAGGTCATGGCAATACAACTCTTTCCTTCTCTCAAACCTTGGGCGACTTCAATCAGGCGAATGCTAGCCCCGCCGAAGCCCGAGGAAAGCAGAAAGTGAGACAACAAACATAAGCAAAGGGCGTGTTGCCGGAAACCCTGCCAATAATGGTTGCTGCGGTCACCAGCGTCGGAAAAACGATGGATCAAACCGAGGATATCCAGTTCCCCACTGCAGATCAGAGATCGAGCGTCACGCGCCGTGAGCCCACACATCCGCCCTAAAGCCTGAGCGTGGCCAAAACGGGGCTGGGGCAAGATCACTTCAGAGCATTCAGACTCCATCAAAACCTGAAAATCTTCAAAAGTGGGACATACCTCTTGGCCGCCGAAGCTAAAAACGTGCGTCACTCTAGGGTCAGTTTTAGCACGATTGCTTCCAACCCAG